GATGATCATGGACCAGAGTTTACACATGGTAAGACCAGACGTACATGTAGGAAATGATCATGGACCAGAGTTTACACATGGTAAGACCAGACGTACATGTAGGAGATGACCATGGACCAGAGTTTACACATGGTAAGACCAGACGTACATGTAGGAAATAATCATGGACCAGAGTTTACACATGGTAAGACCAGACGTACATGTAGGAAATGACCATGGACCAGAGTTTACACATGGTAAGACCAGACGTACATGTAGGAAATGATCATGGACCAGAGTTTACACATGGTAAGACCAGACGTACATGTAGGAAATGATCATGGACCAGAGTTTACACATGGTAAGACCAGACGTACATGTAGGAAATGATCATGGACCAGAGTTTACACATGGTAAGACCAGACGTACATGTAGGAGATGACCATGGACCAGAGTTTACACATGGTAAGACCAGACGTACATGTAGGAGATGATCATGGACCAGAGTTTACACATGGTAAGACCAGACGTACATGTAGGAAATGATCATGGACCAGAGTTTACACATGGTAAGACCAGACGTACATGTAGGAGATGACCATGGACCAGAGTTTACACATGGTAAGACCAGACGTACATGTAGGAAATAATCATGGACCAGAGTTTACACATGGTAAGACCAGACGTACATGTAGGAGATGACCATGGACCAGAGTTTACACATGGTAAGACCAGACGTACATGTAGGAGATGACCATGGACCAGAGTTTACACATGGTAAGACCAGACGTACATGTAGGAAATAATCATGGACCAGAGTTTACACATGGTAAGACCAGACGTACATGTAGGAGATGACCATGGACCAGAGTTTACACATGGTAAGACCAGACGTACATGTAGGAGATGACCATGGACCAGAGTTTACACATGGTAAGACCAGACGTACATGTAGGAAATGACCATGGACCAGAGTTTACACATGGTAAGACCAGGCTAACAATGCCATAGTATCAAGCAAACTTTTCAACAACATTCTAACTATTAAAACACAGATGTTTACAGCTGCGTTGAAGAAATGGTCCAATATATGTTCTGCCTAATGTGTTGTTACTAGATATACAGATACTAGTAACAACACAGCATCACACTTATCATGGAGTCCTATTTCCTCAGAGCAGATGTAAACAGATAAACACAGCTCGACATGTACATGCAATTGAGTCTTTTAGAAGCAATTGTATCATTCTTTCCAGACCTTGTAAGATGTTTGTTTAATCCAAAATGCTGGAACAGGTCGACACATGTAGCAGGAGCAGCTTAGGGCAGGCACATTACATAAAGTATTCTAAGCAAATACCCAGGAGAGACAGGACTTTAATATACTAAACAACAGCTCTGATTCAGGGAAAGTTGTAAGACAGAATGCTATGGTTCTTGAATGGACTTGGCAATGCAAACTATGGCATATCTGCTTCTTCAGAGAACACCAAGTTGGACATTACATTAGCTGCTCCTCTTGGTTCAGAAAAGACAGTTGAGCAAGTAGCAAGTATGTGAAAGCCCTCGAGTTGTTGAGAGAGAGAACATAAAGGATTTCCTGAAAACTGGTGTCTGTGGTTAAGGTTTGGTGACAAAAAGTAAAGAAGCTATCACATGGACGATTGTTGTAAAAGAGATCTCTGCATTTCAACATTATTACCAACATGTGTGTGCAATGCAGAGTGTAATTACAGAGGTATTAAGAAGTAAAAAGTAATGGATTGGGATTGAAATATAAACACAAAAAGCTAATACTTGTTACTGCTATTAAGTTGAACTATAATTGAGCAACAGAATGGCACAATTTTTACAATGACTATCATTTCTTGTTGAGTTTGTTACTTACTATTGCTTTACTTTTAACCTTGCTCTATGTATGTACTTGTCTGGAGCACACTGGGGACTTTTGTAGATGTATTCCAATGTGGTTTTACTGCAAATGGAAAGTAAAATGAATCTGAAATGAATTAATTGTGTCATCTTAGGAACGGAATAATATGTTTCCCCTATGGTCCTGTGTGTACAGTACCTGTGGCTCAGAGAATAGACTTTAAAACAGCTCTGCTTGTTACAAGTCTCTCCATGGCCTCGCACCAAAATATATTAGTGACATGTTAGTCCCATATGAACCAGCCCGGACTCTGAGGAGCACAGGGACTGGACTCCTGCTGGGACTCTGAGGAGCACAGGGACTGGACTCCTGCTGGGACTCTGAGGAGCACAGGGACTGGACTCCTGCTGGGACTCTGAGGAGCACAGGGACTGGACTCCTGCTGGGACTCTGAGGAGCACAGGGACTGGCCTCCTGCTGGGACTCTGAGGAGCACAGGGACTGGACTCCTGCTGGGACTCTGAGGAGCACAGGGACTGGACTCCTGCTGGGACTCTGAGGAGCACAGGGACTGGACTCCTGCTGGGACTCTGAGGAGCACAGGGACTGGACTCCTGCTGGGACTCTGAGGAGCACAGGGACTGGACTCCTGCTGGGACTCTGAGGAGCACAGGGACTGGACTCCTGCTGGGACTCTGAGGAGCACAGGGACTGGACTCCTGCTGGGACTCTGAGGAGCACAGGGACTGGACTCCTGCTGGGACTCTGAGGAGCACAGGGACTGGCCTCCTGCTGGGACTCTGAGGAGCACAGGGACTGGACTCCTGCTGGGACTCTGAGGAGCACAGGGACTGGACTCCTGCTGGGACTCTGAGGAGCACAGGGACTGGACGCCCAGAGTCAGAACTAAACATGGGGAGGCTGCTTTTCAGATTCATGCTGCTAAAACCTGGAACAGTCTTCCTGAAGATGTGAGACAGGCCTCCTCTCTGACAATGTTTAAAACCAGGTTAAAGACAGTTCTGTTTAGCTGTGCTACAACTGAGGGATTTTATATTTTTATCTTTCTTTTTAATGTTCTGTGATTATTTATGATTTTAATGCTTTCTTGTTCAGCACTTTGAATTGCCTTGTGTATGAATTGTGCTATATAAATAAACTTGCCTTGCCTGCCCACCAGGGTCCTGCACCCGCCCGAACCCAACTCCTTATTATTATTATTATAAATCCATGCTTCTTACCTGCACCGACATCCAGAACAACTACAACGGAACTTCCTCCATCGCCGGGGAACGAACCAAGTATCCAGATGTTAAATAAACATTAGGCTTGGATCCCCATGGCGTCATTTCAAAGTCCCAGGTAGACAGCTCAAAGCAGAGAGCAGACTTCCTCCTCCGCTCCTGTCTGTGCACGCGGGGCTCAAATGACGTAAAGCTCAAAGCGTCACGCAACACCGGAAGTAGCGTATATTCAAAGTAAAAGCAGAAAGGATACGTTTCCGGTGAGAAATTGACTTTTTCCTTCTTTGTGTCAATGTATCTATGCACTATAAACAAGCTTTACAAACAAAGTATTTAATAATTGATGATTAACGATTTTACTTAATTATTTTAACGCTTTATCTCTTGTGTTTGTGAGTTGCCCTGTGTATGAATTGTGTTATATAAATACATTTTCCTTGCATCAATGTGTTCATCGATATTTAATTACAATAGTCTCTTGTCTCTCAGTCTGTCTATGTTTTAGGTGTTACAAATACTCAATTCAAAACTACCTACTTGCAGAATTTTCACACAAAGCTCAACCAACAAGAAACAAACATGGGTCTCTATCCATCCATTTTCTTGTGGGGGGTGGGTCTGCACCTAGTAAACATGGCTCTAACATGGTTAACAACTACATGTTTTAAAAAGTAATTAGTAACGTGCAACTAATTACTTGTGACGTTTGGTTTTGAAGACATATTTGTAATGGATGGATTTTGTTTTAACATTTCAGCAATAAAACTATTTGTAAACTCTATTGATATTTTCATTAATATCAATACCTTTGAAGTTATCCGTCTTGTTACATTACATTTTATAGTCAACAATTTTCACAACAGCATTAATGGCTCCCTCACCATGTGTGTCCCAGTAAGATGACACACAAGACCTACTTCACGACTCCCACTGATGTCTGCTGTCATTGTGTCCTTGGGCAAGACACTTAACCCCACTTTGCCTGAAGCCCCCACTGAAAGATCTCAGCTCCTGCAGGAGGATCAGTGAGGGGCTGATGCTTAGTGTACTGGGTGCAGCTCTGGCTGCCATCCGACCCAGAAATGGATTAAGGGGAAGAAAATGGATGGATGGATTTCCCCAGCAAACCATGAACTGTCACTGTTCAGACAGAACTCTGCAAATTCAAATGTTCATGAAAATTCATGAAGGAAATGTTTTCCTGTTGTACGACCACTTCCTTGTTTTAATTTAAATATTTTCCAAGACGTCCATTCCTGCAGGAAGAGTCACTATAGAAATAAACAAGTATCAAAGAAAATCAAACCAGTCACATTTAAAAGTGATATATATTAAGCAAACTATACACACACTTATAAGAACATTTAAGATAGAAATACAGAGAAAGAGTGCATGGCTTTAGTTTTTCAAACAACAGCTGTATTGCAAACCGTCAATCATAAATTATATTCTGTGTTCATACAAAACAAATGAAAATATCAAACTCAGATGAAAGATATTAAATAACCGCGTGAAAAACAAATATTGCTTTTATTCCAAACCCTGAGATATGCAACAAATTGATCACTTGGCGCCATCTAGTGGGTAAATCTAAAAGCACATAATCACCCTGCCAACGGGGGTTTTGACTGTAGGCAGGACTGCGAAACATCTACAGGACGGATTGTGACCCCTTTAAAAGTTTGAGATGGTGTTGGTTGGGTATGCTCTATCCCATGTGCTCTATCTAGTTATTATTAGAATATAATTACTTTTAAAATGATTTATTCTTGGATTGTCGCTTCACTTGGTGCCTCAGAGGTTATACGTATGATTATTCTGCTTTGTCCATGTAGTCCATTGTTCAATATTTAAAAAAAAACACACATTTAATTCAGCTCAAAATGTCTGATTGGCTCCGGTCCTTAAGTCACCCAGCTGTCCATGCGCATGCGCTTGAGGGTGGGGCTGTCCCGGCCCTCAGCGCGGCTCATGTGGCTGATGGGAACAGAGTGGAAGTCTGATCGCTGCTCGTCCCGCTCAGGGCCTCCTTCCTGGGAGCTGCAGGAGGAGCCCATGCTGTCTGTGGGGGAGCGGCCCACCTCTGCGCTGTGGGAGCCAGGGGCCACTCGGTGAGACTGGGCACTCATGTATCTGGACTGGTTCAGGTGGTCCCTGGGCGGAGACAGCGGCTCAGCTTTGATGTTGATGTTGTGGTTTGCATTGAGGCTCAAAGTGGAACTTGTTGAACTAGACAAAAACACACAACAGTTATTTCTACAGGACAAAAACCAACGACTGATAAAGACAGAATAAGTGGCAGAATAATATAAGTCAAATGCATATGTTTATCAGTCTAGATTAGGATTAGATTAAGAGATCCTTTATTTGTCACACAGTGGGGAAATTTCCGTGTTGCATCACAAGTTATAGAACAGTAGGAAACAGTATCTCTCTCTCTCTCTATAGTATAATATTTTCTGTTATGTCTGTATGTACAGTATCTTGTTATAATTCAGTGTCATTAAGTGTCCTCTTTTATATCTATCGGTTTGGGCCTAGTATGTACAGCGACAGATCCATTTTTTGATAACAATAAGTGAACAATAACTCAATACTGAAAATAAAACACTATCTCAAACTCTAGCATCAAATAACAAGTATAAAATCTCCATCTTGAAAACAACAGTAATAATAATTTTAACTCTATGTTTGGATAACAGGTTATTCAAAAGTACAGTGTTTACCTCAGAGAGTTGAGCTGGTGTTGTTGCCACGTTGCCATGGAGCTCAGAGAAGGGCCTGAAGCAGAACTGAAGCCTGAGAGCTGAGCACTGTTCAGGGAATAATCTGTGAGGACAACAAACAACAACAATCACCAACATTAGGAGGATCTATGAGCACAACACGCATAAGCACAGAGCTGATTATTATTATTATTATTATTATTATGACAGCGCAGTGCACTGTAATAAGTGAATCAGACCAAATGTTGATGTAAAATATTTTAAGTAATTACTATATACTTCATTTTCCACTATTCTATATTTTTGGTTAACAAATAAGTACTGTATAATAATATCATAGCACCCTGTACAATACTGATTTTAATGTTTTTAGTGAAAATACTTTAAATATTTCTTCTATAAGCCTGGCGGTCCATTAATGACAAAACAAATATATATTGCAGAGCAAAATATAAACTTCTACATTTGAGCATTCATTTTAAGAATGAATATGAAGAAGTCCTAAAGCAAAATACTTGAGCAACATTTTGAATAAACTAAGTTGATCAAATAAGTCATTGTATTTATTTTTACCAACCGTGATCGACAGCGTCAGGCCAAACTACTTCAGATCAGAGACTACAACATGGTCATGATGCTTGATTAAAAACACGTCCTGAACAGGTTCAGGCACATTAACTCCCAACATGAGAGTTACAAAGTTCAAAAGCACAATGTAAGGATTACAAAAACTAACAAACTTTCTCCAGGTGGAAGAAAGTTTCATTTTGAATGAATACAAAAATATTGAGTATATTGATCATCTCCAAGTTAGTTTTGCTTTGAAAGGACACACACATTTTAAGTAAATCCATCACTTCAAAGTAATAGTTTTGCTTTCTGTCAAATTGAATTTAATATTCTTTATTACTTAATAAAGAGCTAAAGTTGATAGTACTCAAAAAGGCTGATGGAACCTCTTACAGAATTTTTGTTGTTTCTGATTAAAGCAACACTTTTTACAGTGTGTGTACCGTTGTTATAGCTGCTGCCGGAGTAGACCAGGCTGTGGTGCAGGCTGGGCGTCGTCATGGAGACCACCGGAGTGGACAGGGGCTGACTGGACTGACTGCTGTTCAGTCTGTGATTATTCTGCAAACAAACAATAAAGAAATATTCAAGATGTGTAGCAATATGTAAGAAACCCTTTGCAAATAAAATCATTAAACATGTGCTTTATCAAACGCCAGCTTACAAAGATATTTACTTTTTTATAAACGCCCTCTTAGGGGCGGACATTGCAAACTAGCCTTGGCTATAAATGTTGTAGTGCTTCACATGTTGATTGTTGCACTTGTCCCTATAAAATAAATCAATCAATAAATTAATAAAAATATAGAAATCAAGACACTTTTGAAGCGGCTATTTTACATGTAAAAATAAGCCGCTGGGCTAATCATGGCATATTTACAGAAATGTTAATTAATATGCACTGTCCCTGTAATAAATAAATAAATAAATACAACTTTGAGTACAGGATAATAGTTAGAATGGTTGAAAAGCTTTAATATTAGTTTTGATCATTCTTTGGGCATCGATATTTTAACAACCTGAGAATAATCCGCTCCTGGCTCTGAGAGATGAATGCAATACACACTTCAGCCACACGGTGTCATCTGTGTCATCGGTCTCAGAGAAACAATGAGACTAGATTCGCTTTGATAAAGTGTAGCGCATTTTACAGCATCCCACAAACATAAAATAAAATATAAAAAGTTGTTGTTTATTGAAAAAAAATTAAAAATACTGAACTGTTTCAACTTTTATCCCACATTTCTCATCAGTCCTTCAGAGCTGTGATTGGTTTGTGAAAGGATTCTGAGACACTAAAGCAGTCAAAGACATCATTTGTCAGACTTTACCTCCATATTGGAAACACAAAAACATTTAATTCATGAATATTGACAAATGAGACACATGTAGCCTCCTGTTGCGTAGTTCAGTCCGTTCTCTTTCAGACACACTGTTTGTTCCTCTTTTAGTGTTTTCTTTGAGACAGATTGTTTGCAGAAATGTCTTGTTCCTCTTTAACAGTTGGTGTTTTAGTGTGGCAAGTCAGAAATGACATCCCCCCGAATGAGATCATTAGCACTGGACTCTGTGGACTAACTCTAAAACCCTAAAACATGTGCGAAACTTTCTACACGCTATTGTCTACCACACAACCGCCTCCATCCTGTGCACCTCGGCTCAGCCTTTTTTAGAAGAAAGGCTTGTAGATGTTTTTTTGTAAAGGACCCACCCCATTGTACTGCCTACACACACACACACACACACACACACACACATGCACACACACACATACACGTTTTTGTTACCTGGTGGGTCCCTTTGACAGGGCCGTTCAGAATGGGACCCATAGACATAATCTTTTTTTACCAAGACTTTAAGTAATACAAAACAGTCAATAGAAACCAAACAACTATTTTAAAGGAATTTTATTTTAGATTTTGTTTTCGAATTGCAGTGATTCTATTTTTGACATAGAATTTAATGCCACTCCATGTCCGATGTCTAAGGTCATCTGGTGAGGCATTAATGCAGGCCAGGCCAGGCCAGGCCAGGCAGTGAGACTTCCCAGGGACCTTTCCAGTCTGTATGAAAGGTGTCATGGTCTTCTCCACAGCCTTCACCTCAGATGCAGACCATGGCTTTCTTACACGTTCTAGGGAGAGAAATAAAAATATATTAGCAATATACACTCCCAGGGTGAGGACCAAGCAGCCTGGCTGTAATCCCCCACCTGGTACACTTACCAGAAGGGGCACTGCCACTACCATGGGGTGCATCTGGATGAATGGTTGAAGGTTCTCCGCTTGAAGTTTCTTTTAGCCCGTCCGTTTGTGAGAGGATCTCTACTGCTCTCCCTGTCGCACAGAAAATAAAAATACAAGTGGCCTTTAGGGGAAAAAAATCATACATATTTTAATAATATCAAGAATTACCTTCAGGCTCAATTTGTATCTGGTCGAGGCTCTTTCCTTCGAATTCCGTCACTCTTCCCTGCTCCATGGCCATCAACACTTTGCTGATTTTGGCCAGCTCCAGTGTCCCCTCTGGTAGTCTGTAATATTGCCTGTGGATGCGAATGTCATGGCCGAGGAAGTTGGCAAGTATGTCCATCTCATTCTCTTTCATATTGAGAACTGTAGACATAGTAGCTATGTGCTTTCTAAGTTTGGTTGAGGATAGCATCTCTGGATGCACCGCACCACATTCTTTGGCTACCTGGCGTAGGGAGTCTGATCCCCTGATGTGGGTGTCTGCGCCCGGGCGGGAAAAGAAGTATGGGTTATGGTCAGAGATGGAACAGGCCCTTCTGTTCTCCACCAGCACCTCCATCGAAGCAATCATTTCAGGAGTCAAAAGAACCGGCACTTTCCGACTTCTTTTCCCTTTAATTTCAATGCGTTGAAAATGCTGACACAGCTTTTTCTCAAGTTGGGACAGTCCCAGAGCAATGTCAGAATGGATCCCAGTCTTACTTCTTAAGGTAAAGGCTGTCAGTGGCATCTTTGAAACCTCACCTTCCCTTCTTCGATTGAAAATGATGACCTCACAAAGAGTCAAAACTGCCAGTTTAGACCAATGCTTAGACGTTGGCTCACTTATTAGGGTTTGCACATATTCAGGTCGACATACCTCAATATGTGCATGCATGGCTCTAACGTCCTCAGTCAGAGGGAGCAGGTCCGGAGTGTTCCACTTGGCTTGCCGGAGGGTCTGTAGGGCAGCAGAAGAAACACAGACGTCCCACCTCTTCTCAAAAAGCAGCCGGCTTCGTTGGAGGTTTTTAATAAATAGTTCATCAACACAATGCTCCATTTTTGAGTCACATTCAAGAATATCTGCTAGCTTTCTGAGGCTATGGCCGAGTTTGAGGGCCAAGGATGGAGTCTTGTATTGATTTGTTTCCTCATCATATCCAGCCACAGACCTGACTGCATCAATCACATGGTTAAAGTTGGAAGGAATAAAGAAATCCTTCATTGTTTTCAGTTTCCCTGCGGTTTTTGCTTCGTTAATTAACCTACCGACTTCTCTCATTTTCTGCCTAATGTAATCATGCTTTGTCTTATCATGCCCGTGTTTTAAGTACAGGTGCTCTCCGAGTCTCAGAATCCCCTTTTCTGCTTTGACAACACCCGTGACCTCATCCTGATGCATTGCCGAAATTAAAGACCACAGCTTTTTGCTGATGCCCTCCGGTACAGGCTGGGCTAGGGAGCAGAGGGACTGGACCCTACTTCTACCTGGTTTAGCCTGGGCATCTTTCTGTGAAAGCCGGCACCTGGCCACATGCCTCCACAGCGACTTTCGCTTAAGCAATGCCCCACAGTCTATACAGTGCAAAAACTCACTGGATTTAACTGGGCAATTTGGCTGTTTAGCTGGGACTAAAGTTCCAATGCCGGCCTTTAAAACCTCAAAATTGTGCTCACGGTTTCCACTATTCCTGATCAAATCAAACTGAAGTTTACGTGCTTTAGATTTCACAGGTAGAGCCAATGCTCTGGCTACGTCACTTTCATTTCCATGTTTTCTAGTCAAATGACGGGACATTTTGTGGCAGGACATTGAACAGTAGAGGCAGAAGTGTCTCTTGCTGTATACTCGCCCCCCATTTTTCTTCTTTTGCAGCTGCATGATAACAATCTTATTTGCCTTTGGTTCGTCACTTTCCGAGTCTTGAAGAAAAGTGTTTTTGATTTTTCTTTTTCCATACTTTTTTACAGGTTTCTTCTTGACAGTTAAATCGTCAGAATCTGAGTCGACTTCATCAATTAGGGACTCTTGACTAAGCTGCACAAACAACAAATAATTTGTAATCATTCTATATAACAATTTGAAGTCATGACTTGTAGTCAGCACTTACCAGTGGTTTGTAAGCGTGCGCTTCAGTGTGCTCCTCCATGATTTCTTGCAGCCTAATGAACCACACACTTGCACCTTTTTCTAGCCTGACACCTGATTTCCTCTGTTGTGCTGCTCCATGATTGGCTCCAGCCTGCTGGACTGAAATTGCCCCAGTGTGCCCCTCCTTGATATCCCGCAACCCACCACCAGGGTTCCGACACATAACACACTTTTTTCAGGAAAGTAAACCTCCAGGGGTCCTTTCCATATTTTTACAGAGACTGCATAAGGACCGTTAGAAAAGCATTACCCATTGATTATTAAGCTTGGACCAGTGGGGTCCGGTGTTCGGGCCCCACCACGTAAAACCAGTCCCCATGACGTGAGTGGAATCTCAGGTTATGGAACCCACCAGGAGTTGAAAACAAGTGCACACACTCACACACACACACACACACACACACACACGGAAGTGCAGTTTCAGAATGAGCAAACACAACCACAGTGAACCATCAAACCAACTACAAAATACTGACCATTTCTAACACATCCGACCAAAGCCTGCGTTTTTTTCTTGTCGTATTGACAAATGACGATTCAAACTCATACCAACTCTAATCACACTGGCACCAACAATCGGATGCAGATGGCGGCGCACTAATTGCATTAAAAAAAAAAAAAAGAAAAAGTGGCTAAACAAGCTAATTATGCGTTTGCTGTCAAAGACTGTTCATTTTGTCCCGGCTTCACAAACATGTTTTGAAATAGCTCTGGGTGATGCCATGTTGTGCTCAAGTGCTATGATTGTCCGCACTGAGATCATGCTAGAGGGCCATTCATGTGGGAAACGAGCTGTTAAGGTTCTATAAGCCACACACACACACACACACACACACACACACTTACACACTAATAACACAACAACATATAAAAAGAACAAATGGAAAATGATTTGCTCCTCTACCTGCATCATGTTTTTAGACTGGGGGATGACCACTCTTAGGTCCGTCTTGTTTTTAGAAGTGGAAGGTGGAGATTTGGGCTGTGAAATCTTCCCCATGCTGCCGCCGCCGGATGGACTCACAAATCCATTTACTGACAAGAACAAAAAAGATACAAAACATGAAAAAACACTACATCATATTGTCTGTATTCATTTCTTTGACCCATAGAGATTGCATTATAGAAAGACCGGTCGACCTTTCAGCAGTGAGCAATGGCAGACCGTGTGCTTATATATTATAAAAGAGAAACAAATGAATAATTGATCTCATGCACTTTTGACATTACATAACAGCAGTGTTCATCAGAGACATGTTCAGGAAAAGGAGGACGGTGCTCCAGTTCATCTATCAACTTTAAAGGAACTATATCTGATTTATTTTCTAATGAGTTCATAAAAATGCGTATTACTACAAACAAGTTGCATTAAAATCAGTAATTTAATTGAAAACTTGAGCTCATTGATTTAGCGGTGCATGAATTCAGGCCAAAAAAGTGCTGAGACCCTATGATGACGCTAGTTCTCCTCCACCTCCTCTAGACCACGCCTCCTCTAGGCCACGCCTCCTCTAGACCACGCCTCCTATAGGCCACGCCTCCTATAGCATCTGCAGGTAAACACAGCAGCATGGCAGAAGAAAGTGGCTATAGCTCTGGCTGTAACTGCAGACACAGCAAAACAGCCGCAAAAGTGAAGAAGAGAAGAGGGAACTAAAGCGGAAAAAGAAGAAGTCAAGCCCGGGTGAACATTGGTAATACTTGGACGCAAACTATCGGTAATCTTTCAGTTACTGTCCTGTATATTTTGGTAGCGGCGCGCTGCTTTTGTACCATTTCATCGGTGATAGTTGTTGGGGAGAGTAGGAGGGTTTCTCCAAATGAGAAGCCTGTGAGCGAGTTGGGGACGGTGCTAAACATTCAAACTGAAATAAACCTGCAGAAACGGGTATAGCTCCTTTAATAACCTAAAATGTATAAATGAAGAGAGTGATCCTTCTGCCCTGGATGTGGCTCTGTGGTTCAATCCAAAACAATTATGTCATCTATTTGTGTTTGTTCAAAAATACATTGTAAGCATTTTAGGGAGTTTTCCAATTACCACAAACATGCATAGATTATTATTCATTGTCACTGAGCATAACTTAACCCTGATATTGATTACTTTACATTTTCTTGTGTAGGTATATCTTTGTGACTAGTGAAAAACACACTCCCTGAAAATCTCTGCAAAGCTTATAAATGAGGTCCCACTGTAGGCACCAAGCAGCAGAATTGCTACAAGAGGGCACTTTCTATACAGCAACCTGCCGCCCCACAAACGTTTCGGAAAAAACTGGAGCTTAAAGAGGCAGCGGCCGTTTTTGATTTTTTCCAAATAATAATAACATTGTGGGAAAACGTCCCTAGTCGTATGTAACCATTTTTACAATCTGTAAACGTATGTTTTTATAATCTGTAACTGTCTGTAACTTTTGTCCAGGACTCCCTTGAAAAAGAGCTTCTTAATCTCAATGGGACTGTCCTGGTTAAATAAATGTTGACTAAAAGAAGAGCATACACACACCAATGTTCCCGGATCCATTGTGACCGGTCTGATCCGAGCCGCCCTGGTGACCTCCTGTAATCCAGCACAGAACAACATCAGCTCAAGTCCTGGTTTTTGAGGAGAGACCAGAGAAATGCAGGATGGCACCTGTGGTTCCAGCGCTGGGAGGTCTGTGAGGCGAGCTGTTCCTCTGCAGATGGCCGTGTGAGAGGAGGCTGCTGTCGGGCAGAGCTGAGGCGCCTCCCACGCTGCTGCTGTAGGGGGCGCTGTGCATGAAGCCGGGGGGCGGGGGACCTGCTGACTGCAACACCACGGTCATTACAATAGAACTGAGGAGGTTATTCTGTGCCATGTGCTATCAGCGCTAACTGCGGCGTCACTGCTTCACGAGTCTGCTGGCAATATCGGCCCTCTCCATCTACACCTGCGGACTGCCCTGCCTGACCCGCCTGGGAGCGCTTCATCCATTTCTGGGTTGGGGATGGGTCCAGTCCACAGAGCACCAGCCCCTCACTGATCCTGCTGCAGGTTGTGAGTCCACAGGAGAGAGGCTGCTCTATTCTGAGCTGCTTTGATTTTCAGCGAGAGCTTCAGGCAATGTGGGGTTAAGTGTCTTGCCCAAGGACACAACAACAGCAGACATCAGTGGGAGCCCAGAGTCCAATGCTCTCCCAACTGAGCCACTGTTGCCCATTTATTGAGAGTATCTAAACAAAAAAATAAACTGTATTGGCTTTGGGGATCTCAGAGACAAAGAAGGAGCTCGGAGTAGAGTCGATGCACCTCCAGGTGGAGAGGAGCCGGCTGTTTGAGCCCCTGGGGAAGACCCAGGTCTAAAGGGACTACGTTTCTGGGAAGACCTCAAGATTCTCCCAAACAAGATGTAGAAAAGGGTGAGAGAGAAGTCTGGGCATCTCAGCTCCGACGACTGCCTTCATGATGCGGCAACGGATAAAGAGGGAGAAAATGAATGAATGTTTTTTAAAAATGAACGTATAATTTTTGTAAATATTATACTTTGGAAATGTTTTATTAGGCCTTTCTCCTTTTCTACTCTTGACTTGTTTTCACCGAGAGGCAAAGAAGTTTCCAGTCTGTGACTTCCTGTTACTTACATGGCAATAAAAATAATTCTGATTCTGATAAAACCTATTGTCATAACTGTAGAGTAATAACTATTGTAAATCACTAGTGTTTTTACTGTTTGCTAATCTACATTCTAGATCATAATTTTACAACATTATCCGGGCGGCACGGTGGCTGAGTGGATTAGCACTCTCGCCTCTCAGCAAGAAGGTCCTGGGTTCGAATCCCGGTCGGACCAGGACCTTTCTGAGTGGAGTTTGCATGTTCTCCCCGTGTCTGCGTAGGTTTCCTCCGGGTTCTCCGGTTTCCCCTACCACTAAAAATATGTACAATAGGCCTGGCATGTGCCTCCTGTACTGGCCTCCATTGAGTCTCCGATGTGCAGTGAAAAGGCGGTATATAAATAACTTACTAACATTTTAAAAAAATCTCAAATTTCTTGGCAACTGACAACAATCATGTCTTTGTGTTTGAAAAAGCAGGAAGTGAAGACATGAAACACACACATGAAGCTGAAACCACATGAATTCACCCAAAAGTGACGGTTCAAAATGGGAGGCCTAATATTTCAATAATACATTTTGTTTGTCCCGACAGAAAGAGTCATGTAAAAGTAAAACGTGCATAAATAAGACCACAACAAACTGTCTTTTTCCCTCTCAAAAAGCAGATCCACGAATACAACACTAGGGAACTGTTTTGAGACTTTGTAACTAGTTAAATAGACTTTATTAGTTACATTGGTTGTGGTTTTGAAATGAGAAACCCGAGCTTTAAACATCCAATTCAACCAAAGCATTGTTGCCTTCAGCTCCGAGTTAAACTATAGGGATCCAGGAATGTGGTGTTGTCACGTGAACGACACCTGTTACGGCATTCCACAAAATTGCGGGTAATCAAATAACTTACAATTTTGTGAGTCCTCATCATGTGGTCAAACTCCTCATTTATTTTCTTGTACTTTTCCTCTGTGCTCGGAGTCAGGACGTAGGAGTCTGCGTCCGGACTGTCACAGCCTCGGTGCTCCTTCTTATTCAGGGCCTGAACAGACAAAACAGTTTCACTTAAAAACAGTGTGGGATTTTATATTGGATGTGGTTCAGTAAAATGGTAAAACTTTAATGTTAAACTATAGACTGTAAATATAAACGGATGTAGTGACGCCTATCTCCGCTGCTCAAACTAATGTGCCATCTCTTTTGCCTTCTGTGGGGCTTTTTCAAAATGGCCGCGGCACAGGATAATCTGAAAAAACATATTTGCGCATGCGTTAGCCCCATTCATTTAACGAGTGCATTCAAAAGTCCACAGCGGCTAAACTAGACTGGTCCAAAAAAAAAAAAAAAAAAGCATCGACAGCATCTGGAACGTAGCGTTTGGACCAAGAGCGACTTTGGGACCATCCTGTAAAGACGTTTTTGAGAGGAAAGAAGGCGCCATACAAAAGCATTGGGTAATTCTGTTTCCGGGTACAACCCCACCGGCAAGGAGTGAGATGTCAGGGCACGTGCTCATGGAACTTTTGGAGCCGGGACCCACCCTCATTGGGTAGAACATGTACATAAATTGTGCAATTATGGGGATTTAAAGGCAAAGACATGTGTCCAGTGTAAAAAAAAAAGTTGTTTGCGTTTTTTTTAGATTTATTTAGTAATAGTGAGTTTTTTTCATTTGTTTTTTATATTTTTGTCATTGTCAGAGACCTGCACATTGCAAACAGAAGCATGAGACAGAAGACTTTTCAACAATCAATCAATACAGCAATAAGGTTCTAGTTTAATCAAAATGAGGGGAAGCATTCGGTAAGGGGCCAAACTGGTTGCCTCGCTTCTGCCAGTCTATCCCAGGGCAGCTGTGGCTACAGAAGTAGTTTATCACCAGCGTGTATGGAGTGAATGACATGTGAAGCGTCTTTGAGTGTCCAAAAAACTCTAAATAATAATAATAATGCATCGGTTTCATATAAAGTCTTGTATTTAGCAAATTTTTTTGAGACGTATTGTATATAGTTGAAAGTCCCCTGTATCTCGCACTATATGGGCAGGTTCTGAAAGATCCAGAACCGGTACACACTGGAGTTTACACGTTATATATTGGAATGAGAAACAAACAAATCTATTAGAAGAGAAATGAGTACAGTCAGTTTCTCCAAGTCATTTTTGGCCCCAATTCAAGTGAACATTTCAGTGAGTGGCCTGCATGAGCTGGCAAAGTGACTGAGCGTATTACTTTGTGATACATTTCTGAAATAAACTGGAGACAGAATAGATGGAGTCTAATGTAAAGCACCTGAACACTGGCCTGAACAAATCCAATCATACTAACATCATGTGGCCTCTGACATCACTCCTCTGGCATCCATCATCTCATCTCTTCTTCTCATTACATTATACGTCAGTGTTAAGCAGATGGACAGTCAGGCCAGGGCCAGGCTCCCGCGCTCTCACTGGACTCGGCTTTGAACCTGGCATATGCAATTCATTGGATCTGAATCAAGATGGATCAATAATGTGTTTGTAAACGTTAAGTAAAAGTATAGCAGTATCTGGGTGAGAGATTAGACTTTGATATTTGTGTTGTTTATGTTCAGAAATGGAAAATCAAAAGCCATTATATTAAATAAAACAAAATGATTACAGTTTTCATGAATCAAAATCCATCAGACGTCAACACCGGATGTGAACGCACCTTTTTAACTTGTTTTTGTGTCTATGTTGGATCCTGAGTCCATAATAAAGGTTTCATTCATTCATTCATTGACTGTTTTAAAGTAGTATTATGTGTCAAGTCATCATTAAAGGGCCCTAAATCTGTCATCATTAAAGGGCCCTAATCTGTCCAAAGGCATCAATAAAATCTGCTCTTTTCCAATCCTTCTTTAACTGATAACAATAGTTCAGAGATATTTGAATTTCTAAATTAGTTTTACAGACCCTAAATCTTGTTATTGTTTTGATTGATGTTCCGCCCTCCACCGATCCGGGCGCCGCATCGATCATGTCAGGCCACAAAACTAAAAAGGTCTCGTTATGATTCTCAAATCATTAACGACAAAACAAGGAATAAAACCAGGATTTCTATCTTTGTGAAAAAGGTGTTGGTTATAGATTTGTTGTTGACAAAACTCTTGTCTATTCAGCTGTTATGGTCCCAGCTGGATTCGTCTGCATATCTGGCAACCTGAGTCAGGGAGAGTGGGAGAGGCTGCAGTACCACTTTTGGCCAGAATGTTACATATTTCTCCTTTTGGTCACGCTTGTGTTACTAAAAGTGTCAAAAAGACGTACATTTGCCTGCACCTACATCAGCTTTACACATAACAACAAGAACAAAAGTTGGACACAAGAATTCTTCAAATAATCCTATCTGGAAAGTGTGGAAGTTGCCTAATCTTACCACACCATCGCACTCATTTCATTTCATACTAAGGTCTGGATTTGTAATCGAGTTTACGGATGGCTAAGGCCAGGCTGGTGCGGGAAAGTGAGCTCTGTGTCTACATATCAATATCATAAATTATCCATACAGACCAACTTCAAGGCAAACAGCAGCTCAAGGCAATTTAATGACTCAGCAATGGCCATTTAATCTGTGGGAGGGAGTGAGCAGCGCGAGCGACGTGGGGGAGAGGATGCACTTGTGTGAGTCAGCATCAGGAGACAGTGAGTGTGCATACAGTAGTTTTCTTATTGACATGACCCATGAACAACGGCTGTCAGGCTGTGGCTAATCACATGATGACATAAAGTAAGACTGACTAAGAGCGCATTGTTTTGGCGGAAAATTGCTTTATGGTTTTTCCCTTATGAAGGATCACTGGAGGACACGCAGCCTCATGGGATTTAATTTAAGTTCCGTAGGCTATTTGTGGCTGCACACATGCTGTTTCTAACTACTACATCATGTCTGCCCGCCTCACAGCTATCTGTAAGTGTCTGTGAGGGGCTGTGAGGGGCTGTGAGGGGCTGTGAGGGGCTGTGAGGGGCTGTGAGGGGCTGTGAGGGGCTGTGAGGGGCTGTGAGGGGCTGTGAGGGGGCGGGCCTCTTTATCATCTCCAATGTCGGCTTCAGTGGATCTGCTGCGTCTCAATGCGTGCCACGGCCTGCTGTCGTTTGGACCTGGCATATGCAATTTAATGGATTTGAATCAAGATGGATCAATAATCTGTTTGTGACCGTTAAGTAAAAGTATAGTAGAATCTGGGTGAGAGCTTGGACTTTGATATTTGTAATGTTTATGTTCAGAAATGGAAAATAAAACCAAATGATTACAGTTTTCACGAATCAAAAACAATCAGATATCAACAGCGGATGTGGAAGCACTGGTATAGCTGTCTTTTTAGTCTTTTTAACTTGAGCTACAGGTTGGAGACCCCTGCCTTGGACCGTCCTGTATCAGCAAAAATCGCCTCAAAATGGGCCCATATTGAAAGGGATCCGCTCCCACAGACACAATGGCTGCACATCCAGGACTCAGGCTGTAATATTTTAATTAAACTTACAAATGGGGAAACAAACCAGACTAAACAGAAGACTGATTATGTTTTATGATACCATTTCACATTGTATTAGTGTTCCCTTTTGTTCCAGTGCTATTTCATCTGTGCGCTCTGCAGGCAGACGGGAGAGCTCTGCGTTTCTTGGACCACGTCGCTGTTGTTACAGAAACTCAACTCTGCTGCTCACAAACCGGTCTCATTTTTACGACAAAAGCAATCTGTCAGGAGCAGGACTGAGCAGCTCCAGGTCGGTCCACTCTGTACGGCGTAGTGGTGGAGCTGCAGTCTATGGTTCAAACACAGGCCACAGAGATCAACGTGAGCATCCTTGAACTGAATCCACAGGTAATGCTTGTACAGAACAGACCGATGAAAGAGCTGTCTGTGCTTCAAATACTTCCGACGACACTGCCATTCTGGTCCTTCTGACAGACAATAACTCTATGAACGCCTTCAGGCCACAGATGCAGAACGTTAAGGTGGAAGTGGGCAAGATTCAGCAAAAGTTTTGGTCTTTTCACCCGTAGCTGCACTTAACAACCTACAATGTTCCTGTATTCATGTGTAGTTTGTGGGTTTTGTGTGTACTGTAATCCTCCTCTCCATTTCATCTATGTGGCAGGGAACAATTGAGAGGTCTATCTATCTATCTGTATATCTATCTATCTATCTATCTGTGTATCTATCTATCTATCTGTATATCTATCTATCTGTATATCTATCTATCTATCTGTGTATCTATCTATCTGTGTATCTATCTATCTATCTATCTGTATATCTATCTATCTGTATATCTATCTATCTATCTGTGTATCTATCTATCTGTGTATCTATCTGTGTATCTATCTATCTATCTGTATATCTATCTATCTATCTGTGTATCTATCTATCTATCTGTGTATCTATCCATCTATCTGTATATCTATCTATCTATCTGTATATCTATCTATCTATCTGTATATCTATCTATCTATCTGTATATCTATCTATCTGTATATCTATCTGTGTATCTATCTATCTATCTGTGTATCTATCTATCTATCTATCTGTATATCTATCTATCTGTGTATCTATCTATCTATCTATCTGTGTATCTATCTATCTATCTGTATATCTATCTATCTATCTGTGTATCTATCTATCTGTGTATCTATCTATCTATCTGTGTATCTATCTATCTATCTGTGTATCTATCTATCTATCTGTGTATCTATCTATCTATCTGTATATCTATCTATCTATCTGTGTATCTATCTATCTGTGTATCTATCTATCTATCTATCTGTGTATCTATCTATCTATCTGTGTATCTATCCATCTATCTGTATATCTATCTATCTATCTGTATATCTATCTATCTATCTGTATATCTATCTATCTGTATATCTATCTGTGTATCTATCTATCTATCTGTGTATCTATCTATCTATCTATCTGTATATCTATCTATCTGTGTATCTATCTATCTATCTATCTGTGTATCTATCTATCTATCTGTATATCTATCTATCTATCTGTGTATCTATCTATCTATCTGTGTATC